AATACATCTCAACTCATGAAATTTTCATTAAAAATATTTGCTATTTAGATTCATAAAAATTGCAGTTACAAAAGTAGATTCACACTGTTTCAAACATTGTTTAACAATAGAGTACCAAACAAATCATTTTTCTTCAATATTTGTATCTGTATTGACAAAAATTACGCATCTCTTAAGAACAATTGATTTGACTCAGAAGTGCAGCACCGTCAAAATACCCATGCAGAATAAGTAAGCCCACTAACGCTTATGAAAACTTACTGTTATCAACGTGAAATTCAAAGGGGCATCATATAAACTGAAAGTCAACTCTGAGTTCATCCATATCAACAAAGCATTTGTTGTATTTTTTCATAGGTTTTGCAGCCAGTTTACACAGTGCTGTCTGCTGCCTGTTAATTCATGTTGAAAAATGCACAATCATTAATTTGTATTATAAAAAGCTTAGTTTTAACATGAATTATTGTACCTGTCTAGCTAGGTCATAAATAAGCCTTTTCTCTCCTTGGATCTTTAGATGTAGCTAATTCATATGCATTGTGATATAGGGGTGAAAATGTAAATCACCCTGAGATTTCTAAAAATCTTCTCCTGTTTTACCCTTTCATTGTTGAACATTGGCAAGCATTTATTTTGTTTCTAGAAAATCTGAATTAGAGTTAACAGAATTGTAAATCTTTGCAAACCTCTTGTTTGATTCAAGCAACCAACATTAGCTAATAATGTGTTTATTAAATTCATTGTCTGCTGTTTAACAGTTCTATAAACTGGTGATGATTTAGAGCATATGTGTATATGTACTAAACCTTTTTTTTCTTTTTTAAACGGAGTCTTGCTCTGTTGCCAGGCGGGGGTGCAGTGGCATAATCTCTGCAACCTCTGCCTCCCAGGTTCAAGTGATTCTCCTTCCTCAGCTTCCCGAGTAGCTGGGACTACAGACATGCACCACCATGCTCAGCTAATTTTTGTATTTTTAGTAGAGATGGGGTTTCACCATTTGGCCAGAATGGTCTCGATCTCTTGATCTCATGATCCACCCACCTCGGCCCCCCAAAGTGCTGGGATTACAGGTGTGAACCACCACACCAGCCTGAACAATTTTAATAGCTGCCTCCATGATACACTCTGCCGCAGGGCACAGATATTTGCCGTGTGTTTCACACAGCAGAACAAAGTAGTAAGAGAAATAAATCCAACAAATACAGATGCTTGAACATTGTCTTGCTAGAAACTGACTTTTATGTGTAGCTGAAAGTTGCGAATGTTGAGAATTCAAAAATATCTACCACATAAGATTTGAAATTTAAGGTTGCAAATCGATGAAGACATTTCTCTGTAAATTTGAAGGTCATTTGAGACAGATATACCCATAGTATTTATTGGGCATTATCTCTTCTAAAATTCATCTAAAGCTAAAAATACTTGTAACTTTTCAAATGCTGACTTAATTGATCTTTAATATTGTTAGAAAGCCTTTTATTCACTGACAGTTGCTTGGTGTCTCAAAGATTTTTCACTTTCTGTAATATATCTTTTTAACTCTTTTCCATATAATTAAAAATATAATTTCCTTAACTGAAATAGTTTAATTTTTCATCTCTTCATCTTAAAATTGTTTTCTACATTGAACAAGAATCTGAACTGGTCAGGTGCAGTGGCTCACATCTGTAATACCAGCGCTTTGGGAGGCCGAGGTAGGAGGATCACTTGAGGCCAGGAGTTTGAGACCAGCCTGGGCAACAGGATACCTGGCTGTATTTTTAAAAAAATTTCAAAGAAAAAGGCTGGGCACGGTGGCTCACGCCTGTAATCCCAGCACTTTGTGGGGCCGAGGTGGGCAGATCACAAGGTTAGGAGATTGAGGCCATCCTGGCCAACATAGTGAAACCCTGTCTCTACTAAAAATAAAAAAATTAGCTGAGCGTGGTGGCACGTGCCTGTAATCTCAGCTACTCGGGAGGCTGAGGCAGGAGAATCACTTAACCAGTGAGTAGGAGGCTGCAATGAGCAGAGCATGCACCACTGCACTCCAGCTGGTGACAGAGCGAGATTCCGTCTAAAAGAAAAAAGGGTCCAGGCTGTCTTACAGCAGGCCATTTACAACCTCAAGTTCTGTAAAAATCTTTAGGAATTCTTTTATTTTACATTTAATTCTCATTTCACCGATTGTGACTAATTTTATCAATTATTTTTTGACCGGAGCCACTTTCTATTAAATTGAAATGCATTTGCTGAAAATGTCTCTTACTGTTGTCTATTATCTTAAAACTCTTTTTTTTTTTTCCTTGGGACAGAGTTTTGCTTTGTTTCCCAGGCTAGAGTGCAGTGGTGTGATCTCGACTCACTGCAACCTCCTTCTCCCGGGTTCGAGCTATTCTCCTGCCTCAGCCTCCTGAGTAGCTGGGATTACAAGCTCCTGCCACCACTCTCAGCTAATTTTTGTATTTTTAGTAGAGATGGGGTTTCACCATCTTGGCCAGGCTGGTCTCGAACTCCTGATCCACCCATCTTGGCCTCCCAAAGTGCTGGGATTACAGGCATAAGCCACTCCATCTGGCCAAAACTCTTTTTTTTACACAACAGCTTTTTAATTTTGCTCTGCTCCAGCAAATTGCAATTGCCGTTATTTGTAAAATTTGTGGCGTGCCTTGTTGAGTCTTTTTCATTTGATCTCAGTATGCCTTCATTTGAAAGTAAAAATTTTTCTATTTTTAATTTTTAAGCTAGAAAAATAATTTAATTATAAAAAATTAAGTATTTTAATTGCCAATTATGATTTATTTAGGTGTCACTGTAACTCATGCTGTCTGCATAAAATGTTCAAATAAACCCATTACAGTGCTACATGCTGCATAGAAAAATCATTTGAAGTGACTCATTCTGTTGGTACAAACTAGATTGGTGATATGCTTTTGTGTAATGCTAGAAATGACACGTTTACCCAACTGTGCACTGCCATATATCTTGTACAATTTAATAATAAAAGCAAAATACAATTCTACCAAACTATAACATTGTGTTTAATGGTAAAAGAGTTTACACTGCTTCAGTTATTAAGTAAAAATTTATATTAAAAGTTTAAAAAATTAAAATTGTATTCCTCAGTTGCAAGTAGCCACATTTGCACAGCTCTAGAGTCTAGATCAACTTACCTCAGTGATGAAAGGGTAGAGAGGAAAAGCACCTAGACCCAATTGATGTGGAAGAACAGAGCAAGGCCATAAATGAGTCTGTTTCAAATATGAAAATATTACTTTAACAAACGTAATTTTATGTCCCAGGCTGACTTCATGTCATATCAAAAAGGATTACTTTAATAAGAAATAAATCAGTTATTTAATTTACTTTGAAATAATTTGTTAAACCACTTATTTGTGGCAGTTAGAGGTTCACTTTTTAATCAAATATTAATGGCATCCTGTAAATACATAAAAAGTGATCTGAGTTTGCTCTTAGACTTTACTTTCCAGATAAATGCTAGCATTTTGAGTTTTGGACACTGAGTATTATTTTATTCAAACTACATGCATAAATTTATACAAACGTAAAATGAAAATGTAAGCAGGAATTCAAGTAGAGTAACAATACAATTTCATTCTTCAGTGAAAGCTTAAGGTTTATAGAGGTACCAAATGCCTTAAGCCCAAATTTACAGACAAAATAAATCATATTCTCTTAATATTTATGCTGAGAAGGAGCAAAAAATTATAAGTTTTCACTAATTTAGTTACTTTATGGATTGTTAAAAGACTAATGAAAAAATGTTTTCTCCTGCTGATAGTACTTTGATAATAGAAAATGGTCCAGGATATAAAAGACGCTTTTGGTATTTGTGGAAATGCTAGGCACTGACTTGAGAGACTCTGAGAATATATTAGAGAAATCTTGATTGACTGCCTGGGTGGTCAGTTAATGAGCGTGTGTGTTAAATAATTACATACATAGTTTTCAAAAGCATTCACTTAAAATTTTCATTTCTCTGAATAAAAGACACAAGCATTCTTTTTTGTGTAATCTTTTAAAAATTACCTTTTCCCACCCCTTTCTCTCTCTTTCTCTCTCTCTTTAATAAAATGGTTTTCAGATCTAAGATGTTTTTGGGATTCTGCTAGAAATGACCTAGTTTTTACTAATTGCTGTGCTTTCAAAGTTTTGTTTGCTCAGAATGACAGTGTTATTTTTATTATTCTTTGATAGTAATAACAAGTGGTTTCATGCGAAGCTGCATATTCAGAAGAATATCTTAGTGCCAGTTTGTAAGTTGTTTTTGTTAAAATTGGCCTTATCCCAGGAAAAAATTAAATGTTAATGTATACAAGTTAAAGTTTATATTTTGTGCAATTTCTTGTATCCATTTTTAAAAACACCTTAAATATTTTTCTTCAAAGCACTTAGCAGTTGCCTGAATGATATAGCCACTCTTTTATACTTTCGTTTGTAGTGCCTCAGAATGAAAGATTATTCTTCCAACTCATCTGAATTCAATTTATTTTAATTAAATTATGTTTAAAATATACAGCCTTAACTTTAGTTTTTCTATTCAGATATCCCTACAGGTTAATTACGTTTTTCCCTGCTTTTCACTTAAATCTCTCCTCCGCCCAGTTCCCCATTAATTTGGGTTGAGAAGTGTTACCTTAAAGCTTTAGACTTAATGCTACATGAAAAGACTCAGTGCTTTTTATTTCATTTTCCATGTATTATGCACCACTAAAAAGAATGTAGCACATGTAGCCACTTATTTCATTTTCAAAGGAGGAATTGAAGAGCTTTTGAGTAAAAAAAGTGAAAAGAAGCTCGTGTTCACTGCCTCCATGGCTTTTGAAAAAGACTCTTAAAAACATTTCATTGTGAATTCCAGGTCCTCTTTAAACTTACCACCAGCAGTAACTGCCTGCAGAGCCATGTGATCATCTTGGCAGCAGCCAGGCCTTTTAGTGATTTCATTACTGTGGTTTCCTCAAGCTCTTTACACACATTGATTAATATTTTCCTTGCAGTTATCGCTGTGATGATTTTGTGGTTAATGACACCAAGCTGGGACTGGTACAGAAAGTCAGAGAACACTTACAAAACTTGGAAAAGTAAGTAATAGGCCTTTGGAAAAAGAAGGGAATAGAATGGGGTAGAAGGGTCTTTTGGAATTTTTGAGTGGGGTTTTTGTCAATGAGATTTATAACTTCATGTTTTTAATATGATTGCAATGTTGATAAAATAAACCTTGGCTTTGGATATCTAAAACTTGGCCCATAGTTAATGATCATAGCTCTGCTTTTATTTTATTTAACATTTGTCATAAACCATATCCAAGGTCCCAAGAGTCTGTTTTAAAATTATTACCAACAATTTATAAGCTTATTTATTTGCAAGGGGAATTTTGAGGGTACAAGGAAAGAGCAGAAAAAGGTGTGAAATCATTATAGACTTACTTTTGGTAATAGAAAAACCCCTGTCAAATGTATTATGAGGTTTTAGGAAGCACTATGATTTATGCACCATTTTTAAGGAAAATTAGGTTTAATTAACATTGTCCACTTTGCATCTATACAATAGCATAGGATCCTAGTTTCTTTTCCTTGCTTGTTAGGGGCAGTTAAGTATCACTCGGTATTACAGGAGCTATAAATACTTTGTCATCATAAGAAATGAAACTGTTTATATGTGAACAGACTTTTCTTAGTATAGTCAAATAGCTTAGTCAGATAAAACTCACTGGACCTGATATTGAAGCAATAAACAGAAACCCAGCAAGCCATGCCTTTGAAGCTACAGTGGATAGAAGCATGGCTGTGGAATGGCTGCTGACTCAAGTGAAATGTGTGTAAATCACACCAAATCATTAAGTGCCGTCTAATTTATTTTGGCAGTTGGTGTGTAGAAGGTATTGTGAAAACATGCACAAAGCAGGAGTCCCTTAGCAAACTTAAGTGTAAAGCCCATAGAGTGTTTTAAAATTGTATACTGAAACTAAATAACCTAACTACTTTGAGGGCAATGCTGTGTAGTGTTTGTTAAAACCACAGTCATTATGTATGTCTCATTGGCTTATTAGATTATAAAACAGATATAGGAAGAATAATGATTTCTTTAAATCTAAACCAATTAAAGTACTTTGGGTTTAAGGACTTCTGGGTTGTCATCTTTTGGCTCTTTTTCAGAGCACTTTTCTCTTCTAATTTGATGAGCCCTATCTAGGATGAGAGACAGATACAGACACACAGATCCAGAATATTTAATTTTCTCTGAAATTGTTCACAATAAACCATGAAGTCTCAGATTCTTGAAGGAATGTATGTAGTATCCCTCTTTGGTGTGGTGATGTCATTGTAAAAGTCTTAGTAACTTGATTATTCGTTATAGAAGTGGGTGGCTACCAGAATACTTTTTTCTGCCACTTACGGTTTTCTCTAAGAAAAGACTACCCTCTCAGTCTGAAATAAATAACCAGAACTAAGTCAAAGGGAAAAGAGGGCATTTGAGAACCGGCATGCATTTATACAGTTAGGAAATCTTTTATTTCCAGTGACCACTTCATCGGATGAAAGGTGTCACAGACCACCTGTCTATACATCTTGTTGGTCCCAGTGAAAAGTCTACGTTACAGTCCCTTTATTATGTTGAAAAAAATTACCTAGATTCATTTTTCTGTTTTGCAAACATTGGTTTAATCTGTAGTGAAATTTGGAAACTACGATCATCTGTGTTTTACTTAACTTTCGATTATTCCACATACCCTGCAGAGCAGCACTGTCCAGCAGAACTTTCTGCAGTATTGACAGAAGTGTTCTGTATCCACGCAAATACAGTAACAATAGCCATATTTGAAAAGTGGCTAGTGCAACTGAGAAGCTGAATTTTAAACTTCAGTTAATTTAAGTAGCCATGTGGAATGAATGAGTGGCTACTATATTAGATAGTGTGGATCTAGAAGATACTGCCATTTTGAGAGTCACAGAGGATAAAATTTAGTAACTTACATTTTTTTAAAAGTGAAATGCCTCATTTATATAGGTTTCAACTGAAAATGAACCTTAGGCATTGTCATAAGGAGCATATATACTATGCTTGTGGTTTACCTTCCCCACTTTCCAGAATTTGTGGAGGAATAATTGAACCCCATTGCATATGGAATTGGTCTCCTCATCTTGCAGTTACCAGTACCGTGGGAGAGAGACAATTCTGAAGAACATTTTGAGGCTTAAAGCACCTGTCACTAGTTCTAATGTTTCACAGACATTATAATTCATGTGGAAATTCTGTAAGAAAAAATAATTACGTATTTACTTTGGATGAACTTTGTACTTTGAGAAAGTGGGAAGGAATTGACGGCCTTATAAGTCTGTGGTGTTTAACAATTTTTACTTCCTTTACGTTAGTTTGCCTGAGACATAATAATTTTAAGTGACCTTTTGAAAATAGAAATAGCTTTCTGATAAATTGTAAGCACAGTATCTCTTCCATCAAGAAAAATTTTGAGTGATTTTAATTCAGAATTTCGCACTAATAAGGATTTGTTTTAGAATGTCCTTTGGAGCATAGCTGCATCTAATGAATGTATATGTGCCTGTATTCCTGTAACTTATTTATCATTCCTCAAACTCAGATCATATCATCATCTATTAAGACAGATGAGCATAACACGACATCTTAATCTAAATTAAGAAAGAAATAGCATATGGAGACTTACTGTTAAATTTCAGAACAGTCGTGTCAGACCAGGGATTTCCTTTCGTTTTGAGGAATGAGCCTTCTGGTCTGTGAAGCTTCATAGTCGGTCAGACAGCGAGAGAGTGGTGGTGGGGAGTGTCCCACAGGCTGTGTCTTCCCGGCCCCCTTTGCCAGGAGCAGTGTCCAGACCACCTCTGCTGGAGGAGCAGTGGGGATTTCCAAGGAAGTGGAGCTTCTCGGTTAACTTCAAATATGTGTGGGCCCCCATGGGCTTGTCAAAGCAGCCAGGCAGGTCTCCATGCCCTAGGTGTTGAGGACAGCTTGACTTTATTTTTTGACCTATGGTGTGGCATGCATATCTTAATATATTTTTCACTATCTGTGTTTTAATAGCTCAGCTTTCACAGCTGACAGGCATAGGAAAAGAAAACTTTTGGAAAACTCAACACTAAACAGCAAGTTATTAAAAGTAAATGTAAGTAATTAAAATTTATTCAAATATAAGAGTTAGTTGAGATTTAACCACTGTTTTGTTACAATTCTAACATGTAATGTTACCTGTTACAGACTTTTATATATGTGTGTCTTGGATTTGGAGTATTTTACATAGTGTTTGCCACTTGTACTGCTGATTATTGCTGTGACCCCAGTGAGTCCATCTGTGAGCACCTTCTTCCCATCAGCATTACTGCTGTGCTCCTCTACCCTAGAAAACACTTCACTCTTAATGCCTGCGCACATTTTTCACTCATCAGAAAACCCAGCCTTCATTTTTAAGACTAAGTCTTTAAGTTCAAGCATTTTTTTTTTTTTTTTCTGACACACAGTCCTGCTGTCACCGAGGCTGGAGTACAATAGTGCAATCTTGGCTCACTTCAGTTTCCGCCTCCTGGGTTCAAGTGATTCTCCTGCCTCAGCCTCCCAAGTAGCTGGGACTACAGATGTGCACCACCGCTCCTTGCTGATTTTTGTATTTTTAGTAAAGATGGAGTTTCGCCATGTTGGTCAGGCTGGTCTCAAACGCCTGACCTCAGGTGATCCGCCCATCTAGGCCTCCCAAAGTGATGGGATTACAGTGTGCCTGGTCTCAGGCAGCTTTTTAAGGTTCATATCCCGTTAGGAAAACATGTATTGGTCATTTATGTATGGCTTAGAGTTAAAAGTTTGGGGACAAAAATACTTGAGGTGCATATATTTTTTCCATTACTCTTAGTTTTTATAGAATCACAAAAAGGCATTAAGTCTTAAATGTTATTTTAAGGATTTTCCTGTTTTTTGCATTGTATACTCCATGATACTTATTAGTGGTGATTTCCTTATAAGTTTTCCATAAAGATACTTCCATTTAGAACAATCCCAGGATCAGAAACAGTCTTCTAAAAATATCCAGACATTTATACAGAGAAAGAGAGTTTGTTTGAAATATTCATTGGACAGAAAAGGACCAATTCCAGATTGGCTTGGTGTGAGGGTTTCAGAGGCTTTAACTTAGCTTTGAGGTTTGAAACTCTTGGCCTTCCCTGGGCATTACTGATAGCCTCTTCTTACACCACTTACAGGGAAGCACCACTGCCATTTGTGCCACAGGCCTTCGGAATTTGGGGAACACGTGTTTCATGAATGCCATTCTGCAGTCACTCAGGTAATGTTACAGTCAGAGCTTCAGTGTCTGACATTAAAGGTTAAGAGCAAAGGCTCTGGCTTCCTGTCTTGTCTGCCACTAACTCTAGTCATATGACTTGGGGCAAGATAACTTAATTTCCTGTGCCTTTGTTTCCTCATCAGGAAAATTTGGGGGACAGTAGTTCCTAACTCATGGGGTAGTTGGGAAGATTAAATAATGTAATTTGTCTAAAGTACTTAGAGCAGTGTCCGGCAGTGAATAGTTATTTGCATTATTTCCGGTTGCTTCTTGAACAGGCTGGAACTGAGGTCAGCAAACTTTTCCTGTGAGAGTCCTGATAGTAAACATTTTAGTATTGCAGGCCACAGTCTCTTTCACATATTCCCCTACTCCCCTCCCTTTATTAAAACAACACTTTAGGGCCAGGCACGGTGGCTCACGCCTGTAATCCCAGCACTTTGGGAGGCTAAGGCAGGCAGATGACCTGAGGTCAGGAGTTTGAGACCAGCCTGGCCAACATAGTGAAACCCCGCCTATACTCAAAATACGAAAATCAGCTGGGCGTGGTAGTGCGCACCTCTAGTCCCAGCTACTTGGGAGACTGAGGCAGGAAAATTGCTTGAACCTAGGAGTCACAGGTTGCAGTGAGCCAAGATGGTGCCACTGCACTTCAGCCTGGGTGACAAAGGGAGACTCTGTCTCATAAATAAATAAATAATAAGATAAAACAACACTTAAAAAATGTAAAACTCGCTTTAAGAGCTGCCTGATGGAGGGCTAGATTTGGCCTGTGGGCTACAGTTTGCAGACCCCTGGGTTACAGAGAACCTTGTTCAGAGAGCTTATTTCAGTCATTAGTTGAGTCTTAACCCATTTTTGCTGGAGTTTGCAATTTTTTTGTATGAAAATCAGACCTTGGCAATGACCTTGAGCAGTAGGCTATAAATAACTCCCACAAGCTTAGCGTTCCATACTGGAACGGTAGCCATAAACAGATTAATCGAGGTCATAAGATGAGATGTCTTCAAAATATGAGACAAGTAGTAAAAATAGTCAATAAGGCTGACCTGAGTTTTGTAGAATAAATTATTTTGAAAGTTACATACTTTTAGATTTTAATGAAACATGAAAGGCCAGAATAAATGATCTTCCCCAGGTTACATTGCTGTTAAGAAGTAGAAGACATGTTTAATCTCTCCTGGAAGGTACTACCTCTCACCTTATCTATTCCTAGTCAAGGAGGAAATTATAGTTACTACTGAATTCTTCTTATGATTCTGTGTAGTGTATATACATAATATGGTCGGTTTCATGGTTTGTTTTTATTTGAGGTAATTATTGAGTACCTGGAAACAAGCAACTGAAAAGAAAGAAATGGTGACTACCTTTGGGGATTTTTTTGAAAAGAGATTTTCTTTTCTTTTCTTTCTTTCTTTTTTTTTTTTCTTGAGACAGAGCCTTGCTCTGTTGTCCAGGCTGGAGTGCAGTGGCACAATCTTGTCTCACTGCACCCTCCGCCTCCCAGGTTCAAGCAATTTTCCTGCCTCAGCCTCCCAAGTAGCTGGAATTAAAGGCGTGGGCCACCACGCCAGGCTGATTTTTTGTATTTTTAGCAGAGACAGGGTTTCACCATGTTGGTCAGGCTGGTCTCGAACTCCTGACCTCATGATCCTCCTGCCTCGGCCTCCCAAAGTGCTGGGATTACAGGCGTGAGCCACTGCGCCTGGCCTGTTTTCGGTTCATTGTTTTTGTTTTTTACAAAGTCATCTGTCTATACAGTTTTCTTAGAGTGAAGGAAGAATTATGAAGAAAATCAATGCAAGAGATTGCATCGAGTACAATTTAAATGAGACAACTGAAAAATTGCAGTTTCAAAATGTATATGTAGGCTTCATAAACTTACTTTATAGTCCTCTTCTTTTCTTTTTAAAATATTTTTCCCCTTCCTTTTAATGTAGTAACATTGAGCAGTTTTGCTGTTATTTCAAAGAACTGCCTGCTGTGGAGTTAAGGAATGGGAAAACAGCAGGAAGACGAACATACCACACCAGGAGCCAAGGGGACAACAATGTGTGAGTTATAAGAATATGTCCTTTCTGGCTTTGAGTTACAAAACAAATGACTCTCACTGGTGATTTCCATTAGAGGTGAACTAAGAGGCACATACATTTAAAAAAATTCTAAAATTGTGTTTAAGTATCTAGCTGGCAGTCTTAATAATTGTTGGAATTCGTTTATTTGTCTTTACAGGAGGGATGAATTTAGCATTCTACTTACTGACTGCAGATTTGGGCATTCTAGAATTGGCATCTAGATATGAAATTAAGTTCTAGGTATAGATGACTGTGAATCTCACTAGTCCACGTGAACTGATTTGTCTGACAGTGTTAGATAAACCTGTCTTGGATACTGAAATCAAATTAGTTGTGGGGCAATAAAGTCAATTTTTGGTTGATATGGAGACGGGGAGAAATGGACAAGTGCTCATTAAGAACCAATCCTGTATCCCCATGGTGTAGACCTGCCTTATTTGGGGTTCAGAAGATCTATCATTATGACAGTTGTAGGGGGCACATGTTTTATATCTTTACAGCTCTTTTTCAGGACTGTGACTCATACTCCTTACATATTTAAGGTTTTCTCTGTCTGCCCTTTCCACTTTCACACGCTCCCATTCTCATTCTGAAGGGCCATCTTATGATCTGACACTGTCCTGCCTTGGTGGCTGAGGACAGTAGGACTGAACATGTCAGAATAGTGGGCAATACGGCCAGAGTCACAGTGCGGGGAAACCGGAAAGCCAGGGGTGGGGCAGGCTGGAGTGATGTCACTACAAGTGGTGTTTGAAGGGAGTTTCCTTCATAGCAGAATCTAGGATGAGCTGGAAAGTGCCTGCATTCAGGGAGGCTTGGCACTTCATAGTAATCAGGTCAGAGGGGACAGCAGTGAAACAGTGGAAAAAATACATGTTTGTGAGTTAAGAAGAGAATTAGTAATACTTGATTCATTTGTGTCATGGAGGGTTGAGTTACAGACTGCAGAAATTGCCTGTGGCTGATTTAGGCAGAAAAGGAGTTTACTGAGGGGCTATTGGTGAGCTAATCGTTACTGGGTGACTGAAAAATCAGGTCTGCAGTCCAAGGCAGCAGTGCTGCAGTCACTGTTACTCCACAGAACTGTCCTTTAAGGCTGCCACCGCCTCTGGTGCCCAGCGCGACAGCAGAGTTCCTGTTGCCAGCGCTGCTGGAGACGGGTGCTGGCGGATGCAGCCTTACTGCTGCCCTGTTCTCTGGATGGTGCTCTTTGCCACCACTGCCACTAGCGAGGATTTGGTGCCACTCTTCTTTGTGTTGCTAACTCCTGCTTCAGATGGGCAGCGCCCAGGCCATGTACCTGGGCTCTGACTGCAAGGGAGCCTGAGAAGGTGGGTGTCTGGCTGTTTTAGCTTCAGCAGTGAGAGGCAGACTCTTAAAGCGAGGATTTTCCAACATAGGAAGATGGTTCAAGTACTAGGAGTCAAAAATATGATTTGTATCCCAAGGTCCTATGTGATAATGAGGGTTGAGAAAGAAGATATTGAGATTCTCTGAGATATCAATCAAGTATCAAAAAATATGCTTATATTGACAGCTGTGGTAGTTGAAGTTGAGCTGGATTAGTTTAGCCACAGGCATAGAAAACCAAAATTAAGTGACTTAAACATCCATGGTTTGTTTCCTCACATAAAAGTCAGAGGCTGTCTAGGGTGGTTTCACAGAGTCCTCGGGGCTCCTCCTGGCTTTCTGTTCCACCAACCCCTGGAGGCCCCATCCATCCACATAGTCCAGCACAGTGCTGGCGCTCCCCAAATCCACCTTCATTCCATCTAGCAGGAATAAGGAAGGGATTGATGTAGGAATACTTTTTAAGACATTTCCCAGAATTTGGACACGCAGTTTTTTATTGTAAGCATTTATATGTCCAGCAAAATAAAAAAAGAGAGTTCGATTCCTATGCAAGAAGAGTGTGGATATTGGGTGATGGGAGGGGTGTACAGAGAGCAGTAGGTGCTGGAGCAGGTCAGTGCACATAGAGGTGAAAGTGACAACAAGACCGCCAGCGGAAAATTCCTGCTGGAAACTGGAGAAGATTGAATAAAAACGGTCGTGAGGAAATCTGACATTTGGAGTTGAGAGTCATGGGTGGAGAGCTGAGTGGTGAAGGTTTGTGACACAGGCTGGAGTCTGGGGGTGCTAGTGAGTGGCAAGAAGGAAAAGGCAGGACGGGGAGAAAGAGAGCCTATTTGCTTGTTTTGCGTTTTAAAAATGTGCATTCTTAGCTGGGTGTGGCGGCTCACACTTGTAATCCTAGCTGCTTTGGGAGGCCAAGGCAGGCAGATCATGAGGTCAGGAGTTTGAGACCAGCCTGGCCAGCATGATGAAACCACGTCTCTACTAAAAATACAAAAAATTAGCCAGGTATGGTGGTGCGTGCCTGTGGTACTAGCTACTTGGGAGGCTGAGGCAGAATTGCTTGAACCTGGCAGGCAGAGGTTGCAGTGAGCTGAGATAGTGATACTGCAATCCAGCCTGGGCAACAGAGCGAGACACCGTCTCAAAAAAAAAAATGTACTTTCTTAATAATTTGGCCTATAACCCACCCAGTGCTGTATTGTTTGCTTGTGTGTTCTCAGTGTACAAATATGGTGGTGCTTTGGCACACTTGGAGTTAACTATATGGTTACAAATTAGCTCTGTTGGAATTACTGGTACTTATATGGGTTTTTGAGATGCTCTTACTTATCGGTCAGACTTTCTTCAGAGACCAAATCCTTTAAGTGTTCATTTTGTATGTATTATGCATTTTAGCTGAGCGGACGCTGTGTTGAAATAGTAGCCTCTCACTAATTCTGAGGCCATTGTCCATTCCTCTTTTCCAGGTCTTTGGTAGAAGAGTTTAGAAAGACACTCTGTGCTTTATGGCAAGGCAGCCAGACTGCATTTAGCCCAGAGTCCTTATTTTATGTTGTTTGGAAGATTATGCCAAACTTTAGGTAAGTATTATTTAAAGAAAGATATTTTAAAGCATTCGTATTAGTCTTTATACTGATTATGAAATAATTTCTAATGAAGTGGTTGTATTCTAAGTATTCTAAATACTTCAGACTGGTTTGGCAGGGCAGCCAGACTGCATTTAGCCCAGAGTCCAGTGTTTTTTCTTTTTAAGAAGAAGAGCAGAAATTGAATACATCTGACTAAACAAATGTGTTTATTTAAATAATAGACAATAGAAATGTCTTTAACAAGAGGTAGGGTATTTTGTTGTAACCAACATAAAGCCCTTATACATAACTTATGCACAGTAGGAAAACATACTGGACAAACTTTCCTTAATTTTTTCACAACTTTCATTACCATCACACACTGTCTTGTTATTCCAGCTAAAAAAATTAATATGATTGGTAGAAGTTCATGGTATTATATGAGCTTTTCGGAGCTGACTTTGGAAGCTCTGGAAAGGCTGTCATCAAGGGCCTGGGACGCCTTCTCCAGAAGGCAGCCGTGCCACACCCTGGTATGGCCAGAGAGCTACTGTGGTGCCTGTGCTTTCTGTCTCACCTTGCTTGAGCAAAAAACACCTTGTGCTGTCAGAGGAGTCCTGCCGCTTCTCGTAGGTCTGACATCCCTGTAGGGATTCAGGTGATAGCAGCTTTGGGGCACTGCAGGTGTTTGACAGCAGCCTTGGCTACCTTCTGCCGATTTTACCCTTCTGAAGCAAGTCATGGTTCTTACTGGTTAAGATTTGGTACCTAATGTACATCCCATCTCCTTTTTTAAAAAAACATCATGCTGTATTAAACTTAGCGATCTACGTTGTCCTGTGGCCTAAAAAGATATATTGTTAATATAGAGAAATATTAAAAAGGTAATTAACTTCAAAGGACTTTAAATTGTTGCCTTGCTAAAAAGTGTAGCCTTGAGGATATGACATGAGTAACTTGTGTTAACCCTAGTCTTTGTTTTGAGAGAAACTTCTGGCCGGGTGCAGTGGCTCATGCCTGTAATCCTAGCACTTTGGGAGGCTGAGGTGGGTGGATCATGAGGTCGAGATCGAGACCATCCTGGCCAACATGGTGAAACTCTGTCTCTATTAAAAAAATACAAAAGTTAGCTGGGCGTGGTGGCATGTGCCTGTAATCCCAGCTACTTGGGAGGCTGAGGCAGGAGAATTGCTAGAACCCGAGAGATGGAGGTTGTAGTGAGCTGAGATCATGCCACTGCACTCCAGCCTGGTGACAGAGTGAGACTCCGTCTCAAAAAAAACAAAAAAAAAAAGAAACTTCTTTTATATATCACACTATTTAAATCTCCTTTTATGTATCATAGTATTTAAATCTCCTCTCAGGAAAGATGTAAGAATTTGAGAATGTCTTGGCTAAGTCGGAAAGGTAGGGATGACAGTTAAGTTACCACTAGTCAGGTCTAGACCTAATTAAAAAAATATCTAACATCATCACCTAGTTAGACGCTTGATAGAGATTTAGTCTTTGTGTTTTATTATATAATAATAGTTTCCATTTATTGAATGCTTACTGTGTGCTAAACACTGGGTATTTTACATCTGGTTTTCATTAAAAAACAAGCAACAACAAAATTCCAGCCAGGGTAGGAAATGTTACCCCCATTTTAGAGGAGACAAAACTGAGACAGAGAGGAGAAGCAACTTGTTTAAGCTTATACATCTAGAAGGGGTAACGATCGAAATTAGAGTCCAGGCGTTTGAGTAGTTGGTTAATAGATGTGTTGACAAGTGATTTGCCCACGTACCTTAAACAAGATGATTAGTATACAATGGCTTTCTCACATCTTTTTATTGTTGTATCATAATTTGTGTCCAAGTCTCCTCCCAGCGGCTTTATGGACTGTTTCTAGCCTTTGCTGTTCTAAACAGTGCCGCAGTGGGTAGTCGTTTACATGTATGTGCAGGTATCTAAGAGAGGAAGTGCTGGGCTCAAGGATATGTGCTTCTGTAATTGTGATAGTCTTTTCTGCTAGCCTTTGTCACTCCTTGCTTTTCTTAACTCTGTCTTGTTGCTTTGCTGTCTATGTATGTCAGGTGCTTCTGCCCACAGGATTTGCCTAGTGGTCCCTATTTCTTTCTTTAGGATCCTGGTTAAAGCTAACACTCTTCGGGAAAGTATCTTGATGATTCAAATCAGGTTTTTCTGTACAACCTGATTTAATATATTTGTCTTGACTTCCCAAGATGGAACTTTATTTTTTTAAAATCAGTTCTTGTGATAATTCATGTTTTAAAATGATGGGTAAATAAATTATTGAAACATAATTCTTGTATTTGCTAGCTCTTCTCAGGTTTATAGACAAGATACAGGATTTTTGTAGACAACAAATAGAGCTTTGTGTGTGATGCTTTTTTTTTCTCTCTTTTTTTTTTTTTTTTTTTTTTTTTGAGATGGAGTCTCACTCTGTATCCCAGACTAGAGTGCAGTGGCGTGATCTTGCCTCACTGCAACCCTCTGCCTCCTGGGTTCAAGCAGTTCTCCCGCCTCAGCCTTCCAAGTAACTGGGACTTCAGGCGTGCATCACCATGCCTGGCTAATTTTTTTGTATTTTTAGTAGAGATGGGGTTTCACTATGTTGGCCAGGGGTTTCACTATGTCAAGCTCCTGACCTCATGATCTGCCCGCCTCAGCCTCCCAAAGTGCTGGGATTACAGGCATGAGCTGCCTCGCCTGGCCGTGTATGATGCTTTAAGTTTAATTTAACAGTAGTCTTTTTGGGATATTTATTATAAGATTTTAAAATACTGTGCTATTGATATTTTATATTTAAACAACCATTTTCATGTAGCCAAGAATTTTTACTGTTGTATTTGTGTGCTTATAAACACAAATTTCATTTTCGTGATTTTTGTTTTCTGGTGTTTCTGTTTTGAGGAAACTCAGTTATGATTGTTGCCAAATACTGAGTAGGAATAAATTTAACTTATTTTGGTTTTGCAGATATTTTCGCCAAAACGACTTTAGAATTCTTTTATCAATGTCAAGGATATTTTAAATATGAGCAGAACCTAAAATTCTAATGTATCTTAGGTATTTTAAATTATACATGTGTAGATCTCTTTCTGCATACAATACATACAGATTATATACTGGCACTGCCAAAACACAGAAATAGTAATCCACAGGCATGTCACAGTTAAGCGTGTGGCGGCATCACAAGAGTTCTTGTATGTCTCTGTATTCTGGGATGTTAATTTCATTATTTGGAACATCTGCTTTTCACACTCAAGCAGGCGCAAAGTAACTTTTTTTTTTCTTTTTGAGACGGAGTTTCGCTCTTGTTACCCAGGCTGGAGTGCAATGGCGTGATCTCGGCTCACCGCAACCTCCGCCTCCTGGGTTCAGGCAATTCTCCTGCCTCAGCCTCCTGAGTAGCTGGGATTACAGGCACGTGCCACCATGCCCAGCTAATTTTTTGTAGGACGGGGTTTCACCATGTTGACCAGGATGGTCTCGATCTCTTGACCTCGTGATCTACCCGCCTCGGTCTCCCAAAGTGCTGGGATTACAGGCGTGAGCCACTGTGCCCGGCCCGCAAAGTAACATTTTATTTGATCATTTCTTATTGGCATATTTAAGATTTATGGAAATTTGTTTGTACTTATTGTGCCAAAACCTTGTGAACAGACAGTTGCCATGTGTTGCTGTACCCTGTGCTTCAGTGGTGTTCAGAATGGATGGTTCAAGACCTTCTAGGCTTTCTGTGTTTGCAGTGTGCTCTCCCTCAGTGATTTCTCACAGCATCCTCCTGACACGTTTAGGAGAAAGGGGTAATCTTTATCTGAGGTCACAAATGAGAGAAGGAACAGTGTTAAAATTGGAGCCACAGTTATTTGCTTGCTTTTTTTTTCTCCTGTACTTCTAGTCTGTCACAGGGACACTAGTTGGTTCTTCATAAATCCGTTCCCTCACTAATTCTCAAACAGCTGTTTGACATTGCTGAAATATGTATACAAAATATAAATGCAGCACCCAAATATGAAGAGTGTTTTTTAACATGAGTATAAAACAAAAGAACCTGAAGTTGACTACAGAGTAAATTCTGAAGCCCAGATTGTACAATTGGGAAATGATTGATAATTGAAGTTTGTTGAATTTAACATATTAAATATTTATTTAGTAAGGCTTTCAGGTAAGTCAATGAAATGATACATTTAAATGTTTAAAAAGAGAATTGCAGATGTCTCTTTAGTCAGAATTAGAAAAAGTTCCAGTCTTTGAAGCAGCACGGTCTGTTCTCTGGTAAATTTCACAAGTTGAAATGGACTCATAACTTACCTTTATAGAATAGCTGAGTGTTCTGTGATCTCATGTAGTTTAAAGAAAATGTGTTTGTAATGGCAGAGGAAACACTAGAAAATAATGTATTTTGATGTAAGAGAATCATGGTATGGTTAGACACATACATTAATGTACATGAGGCACATTGTTTTTTAAAATTGGATGGATTTGTATTCACTTGATGAAAATGCAAATTGGTATAGCTGTAAGGTGCTGGTTTTCATGACACATTTTAGGAAAATGATGACTTAGATATTAGGTTATTTTGGGGAGAGAATGAAGTTTTTTGTAAGTGATAGAATTTCAGATATTATAACCTAAATAACTAATCTTACCTTTGAGTAATGAAAACAATGGATATTTTATTAATAAGTTTAAGACATCTCCTTAGATATATAAAGGAACTATCAACTTTTAATGCTTTTGCCTGAATTTTAACATTTTTATTCGTGAGCCTTAGAAGAAATACTTGAACTTATATATTGGTATTTAATTGCCAGATAGTTTAGAAAAAGCTATAGTAAAATGCTGAAGTAACTTCTGACTTTAAGTTCCAAAGTTCCATTGATTAGGGAGATTGTTTTCATAATTTATAAGAAAAGCGGAAAATATATATTGACAGAAACTCTGGTTGGAAGAAGTTTTGTTTAAGGAACCATTGCCCGGAAGAGTAATGGAAGTTTTGAATCTAAGACCAGACCAGAAAAACTGAATGATTTAGATTAATTCAAGAGAACCTTCCATGCTGGCAAAATATAGACAGAAGTCTTTTTTATTATAGTTTTATAGGAATACTTTATATAATATTGCTTTATTTTATCCAAGTAACTTCCCAGACCTTCTACCTGTACCAGTGTCATTTTGTCTGCCTTCATTCCTGTTCACTGTCATTAATCTATATTAGTATAAGAATTTCAGGGAGTTTCCTGTCTGATTATACTGTAAGAAGTATCCTAAGAATATGTTGTTACATAAACTCAAATTTTAGGATAGAGCATAACTGTATATGAGCCAATGCATTTTAAAAAAGTATTTATTTAAAAGATGTCTTAAGTCAGAGACTAGGATGCAGGTAGAGAAGTTTAGACAGCTTTAACTCTTTTGGTAAAGCTTTTCTTCCTTTCAGCCAGTGTTTAAAAATTAGTATCTTTCAATCTAAGGAGTTATTAATAATTTTAAATTCCTTCTTCCTTATAGTAGTGGTTCACACCTGGTTTTCTGGTGAGGGTAAGAGGTGAACTATGACATTGGAGCATCTTCTCGAGAGGTTATATACACAGGAAGAAGAGCCAGAGTCCACCAGGAAACACAGGTGTCCCATCTCTGTTACTCCCTTGCTGTAGGACTTTGGGCAAGTCACTTATCAGCCCCCCGTTTCCTCACCTCTGAAGTGAAGAGATCATTGCAAGTCCAATTAGCTCTATTATTTTTTGGTTTCCATACCTACCTTTAAGCAGTAGAATTCATTATTGAAGAGAGAAATTCTGTCATTTGTGGAGGTTGTGGGCGTGAAGGAGAGGAATCCTGGCTGTGCTCGTGAGCACAGCGCTGCCATCCTTTCCCACGCCTCGGCCTCTTGCTGGTGTGGCTCCACACACAGCCTTCCCCTGGCCCTTACAAATGACTGTTTCTGTTTGCTTTAGGGGCTATCAGCAGCAGGATGCCCATGAATTCATGCGCTACCTTTTGGACCATCTACACTTGGAACTCCAGGGCGGCTTCAATGGCGTTTCCCGCTCCGCAATTCTGCAGGAGAATTCTACTCTGTCTGCAAGTAACAAGTGTTGCATGTAAGATTTAGTTTCCTTCTGTTTTTTAGGAGTGCCTCAGACATTTCTGTAGGTGTTAACTATGTGTTAGATTTATAATGGAAGGTGGAGGGGTTTCTTGGACATTGCTGGAACTTTCTTGCATTTAAACTTTGTGACCAAGTGAACTAGCACATACCTCTTGCTTGCAGACCAGAGGCATCTTGTATTTGCATCTGGATTTGGTTCTGACTGTGATTATTTGGTATAGATTATTTTAAATCTTGAAAAAATGTAGAAAATATTTGTACCATTTAGCATTTAAAAGATTTCTTCCAAATGTTCATATATCAAAATAATATTTGTTCACTAAAAACAAGAGCTTAAGACATTTTGAATGTGAACTTTCCCAAAGCTTCATTATGGACTTGAATTTTCCTAAAGTTTATCTGTTCTTTAATGAAATTGAGGCATTTATAAGTTCTCAGAAGTTTTTCTTGCCTTTCAACGTAAACAAAACAAAGCTTTTGGATTGCTTTCCCATGTATAGTAGCCCCAGAATATACACTGAGATCACAGCATTTATTTTGCTTGAAGAAGAGAAGATTTACTGTTATTTCAGCCTGGATTTTGGTCAACCATAGCTTTTTTTGTTCAGATTTTTGAAAAGTTTTGTCAGTATTGAGCTACATGGGAAAGCGATTTACAGGAAGACAAACTCCCCCCAAAAAGAAAGAGTAAAGTAACATATTGGTAGTATTGCCTGGCAGTCCATGAATCGGACGTAGTAGGACTACTACTTTTTAATGGCAAAGCAGGCTTATAGCTAAGCAAGCAGTGTTAGAAAAGGGCAGCCAGTGTTAATTGCCATAATTCGCAAAATGTTTTCCCTCTAGGTCCTAGTAGCTGTGATTCCAATTAGAATCCAATATAGAAAGGGAAGGACCTGTGACCTGGGAGAATTGTTCTTTCTGGTAGCACCAAATGGAAAAGCATTAAATGAAAAATTCTGTTTTGTGTTTTATCATGGCACATTCATCCACAAAGGATATTGAACTGGGCTCTATCATGGATAGGCTGTGTGAGGTGAGAGAGGGTGTATGTCTCTATGATTTTACATGAAGCCTGGGGCACTCGTGGAATCACACTGTGTAATACTCACAGAATGTTCTTTTAGTGCCTCATGAATTTTCAGTATTAAGCTATCCCTTTTCATGAAACTTTAAAGATTAGGAATTGCAAGCTTCATTACTGAGTTAGGGACAGAAACCAAACATTTATTATCAAATATTAAAAGTTCAGATTTCCTTCTATTTCCTTCACTACGTTGGAGAAGGCATTTCAGGATCTAAGAATCATTGCTACAACTAGAAAAAGGTCTCTTGCACTGTGTCTTTGTTGACTTGTGCACACGCACACCTACTCCTACTAAAGGTGAAGGCGAGGGAGGTGTATGGAAGAAATAAGTGGCAGATATGTTTTTTTTAGTACATTGACAATCATTAGTGTCCATTAAAGGACCCTAGCATCATAAGAGCCTGTCCAAGTATTCAGTATTTAAACAGTTGTGGTTATGATAAATGAAACTGATTTTGAATATTAAGTCATGGTATAGATGAAGCTTAATTTCAAACATGTCAGGCAGCTAAAAACTTGCTAAGTATTCATTTCTCGGAGGAAGTGATTATAAGAAAGAACTACATTGAGTCTAAATGTACTTCTTAATGAACTAGTTACCATTTTAATGAAAGGCAACCTTGTATGTGAACATCAGCATGAAAGGGTCAGTTACAGTCCCTTCATTTTCAGCAGGTTTTTTTTTTTTTCTTGCCATGTAGTGACACAGATAATAAACCTAAACCTGAAATGGCTGCTAGGTCCTACAACTCCCAATGCTTCTTCCCCAATGATACTTAAAAAAAATTTTTCTTAAGCCAGTATGTCTTACAAACAATACTTTATTACTTACTACTTTAAAAATAATAATAAAGTTATAGCCTATTGTTTTTGGCAAAAAAGGAATCAAAAGTTTCAAATAGAATTGCTTGAGTAGGTTTTGCCTGCTTCACCATTGCAGTAGGTCTAACTTAGAGTGGTGGAGAAAATACAGTTCAGTGTTTTAGGAGTAACTGAAGTGACAGAAACCACCTTATATTGCTATTAGCAAAAAATAGCATGTATTGGCTCAAGTGACTTCATAAGTGCACAAGGGCTGATAGACAAGTGTTCATGTAATACTATTAATGACAGCAAATAATTGAAACTACCTCAATAGCCACTAATACTACATTAGTTAAATTAAGAGAAGGAGCTATGTTGGAGCAGATATACAAACCAGACCAGCTGTATGACCTTGGGCCAACTTAACCTCAGTGTCCTCATCTACAACTTGGGGCGTACAGTACCTACCTTATAGATGTGTTGTGAGGATTGACTGAACAGATGGAAAGAATGTGCTTGGAATGGAGCCTGTGTGTAGTAAGTGCTGTTATATCAGTGCTTGCCACTCCTGCTCTCACTGGTTCTTGCTTCCACTGTATGTCCATAGTGTGACATGCCACGCAGCTGTCAAGAAGAATGAGGTACCTGTTTAAGGTATACACTTAGGGAAAAACATAAAAGCAAGAAGCAGGTGTAATCTGACTTCATAGTGGCAGACATTTCAAATGCTTTATTTTTGGTAAGTGCTCTTCTAAAAGCACTTCACATACATAACCTTCATCTTCACACTGGGCCTCTGCGGTGGGTACTCTTCCTGTATTCCTGTTTTATATTTGATGGAGCAGAGGCAGAAAAAGTTTAGGTAACATTACAGCAAGAGGTGTTTTTAGTTTGTTCTTAAAACAGTGTATCTTTCATCTCCATAAGGAAATTATTTGCAGTATTGAGCTTTTTAAAAAGTGTTTTTGACAGTAACATCCAGCACTTTGAATTGTGAAGTTCTACATCCAGCAGTAATTACCAAATTGGTATTAAATTCCTTTACTTCTTTTTCCCCAAATCTGAGAGATGGCTGTCTAAAAACTCAGACCAAGGATGTTTAAAGTCAGTTAATTGTGAGAGTTCCCTGTAATATGAGGGGTCTTGCAAAGGTTCCAGTACAAGGTAGTTCCTTCCTTTTGGGACCTATCTTGGGGAGAGAATGGAAGGCGTCATGTTGCCCTGTGTGGAGTCACGCATGTGATCTGTGTTACGATAGCAAATGGCCAGTGTTCGTTGCTCTTGGGGAGAGTAGTGGGATTGGATGATAGCATTGGAGGAGGCCAGTGGCTTAAACCCTTTATTTAGTATGTGTCTATATTTTGAAATTTTATTATTTTTAAACTTAGAAATAAGTGATTTAAATATTGCTTCAAAGGGAGCAGTCTGTAGGGGCTTTAATAAATATTTCAGTTTTTTAAATGTCAAAGAGATGGCTTCTTACTGAGATATTCTCCTATGTGGTGCTTTTGTTTAGAAATGGAGCATCTACTGTTGTCACGGCTATATTCGGAGGCATTCTCCAAAATGAGGTTAACTGCCTCATATGTGGGACAGAATCTAGAAAGTTTGATCCATTCCTAGGTAAGACATATGTGGCATGTGGATACATAATATTTTATTAAAATAATAATATTAATGTTTCCTTCAAAAAGTGTAAAGAGAAATATAGAAATGCATGTTTATGAAATTATTTTTGAGTAGATATATGCCTTTAACAGTGTTTACTTATCTCCTTTTAAGACCTTTCATTAGATATTCCAAGTCAGTTCAGAAGTAAACGCTCTAAGAATCAAGAAAATGGACCAGTTTGTTCATTACGAGGTAAAGATATTTGAATGTTCTAAAATTTTTTTTCTTCAAATAGTGGAATAGATTGATAAACTTCATCTATATGTGCTTTGTGGTTAATATCTTTAATGAATCTGTGTTGTAACTTAAGAAAAGTGAAACCTGAATGTCTTTTCTCTACCCCCCCAAAAAAACTGCACTGTCCAATATGATAACCACGAGTCATGTAGCTATTAAAGTTTAAATTAAAATTCTGTTGCTTAATCACACTTGAACCACATGTGCCCAGAAACCACATGTGGCTAGTATGGCACTCCTTTATTAGACAGCACTACTCTAGAATCAGATTATCCTGGGAGAATCCAACTTTCTGTTGGAGAAGGGCTAGGCTTCTCTGTGTCACTGGTGTTGTGTGTAATGTGAGGCATTTGGCTTGTTAGAAGCAGCTGAGGTCTCAGATGCTTGTAGTACTGTTCTCAGGTAGTTTCTAGAAATCTGTCAGACAATGCATGGGATGACTAGACTATACTCCAGTAAGGACCTGGAGCAGCACTGCATGTGAAACATTTTGCTATGCTGTCAGTTTGTTCCTTACCTACACAACCAGTGTTGATTGTCTCCTTGAATAAGAATGTAGAAGAAATTTAAGAAAGGCCCATTCACTCCATTTCTCTGCAAAATATATGGCTATAGTATGTTTCTCCAAAACTGTTTTTGGCCTATTTGAGATTAGGAAAATATCACAGTATGCTTGATATTGTCAAATGTCACAACATTTTCTCTTTATATCTAGGGCATGTGAGTACATGCTAACTTAATCATGAAACAAATATCTGATTATTTACAGTGGAAGTCAGTGAAAATTAAAGGAATTAGTCTTAAACCTATCATTTTATAAACTCTTCAGTAAGAACTGTAATTATGACATTAGTTTAAAAACTATGGTTACTATAAATACATGGGTATATATCTAAACAATACTTAAAAAATTTTTTTTGAGACGGAGTTTTGCCCTGTTGCCCAGGCTGGAGGGTGATGCAATCTTAACTCACTGCAACCTCTGTCTCCCAGGTTCAAGCAGTTCTCCTGCCTCAGCCTGCCGAGTAGCTGGGACTACAGGCACATGCCACCACACCTGGCTAATTTTTATATTTTTAGTAGAGATGGGGTTTTTCCATGTTGGCCAGGATGGTCTCAAACTCCTGACCTTAAGGGATCTGCCCTCTTTGGCCTCTTAAAGTGCTGGGTTTACAGGTATGAGCCATTGCATCTGGCCTGAACAGTACTTTCTATTTTTTCTTTTTTCTTTTTTTTTTTTTTTGATACAGAGTCTTGTTTTGTCGCCAGGCACCAGGCTGGAGTGCAGTGGCATGATCTCGGCTCACTGTAGCCTCCGCCTCCTGGGTTCAAGCAATTCTGCCTCAGCCTCCCGAGTAGCTGGGACCACAGGCATGCGCCACCACACCCAGCTAATTTTTGTATTTTTTAGTAGAGACAGGGTTTCACCACGGTCTCCATCTCTTGACCGTGTGATCTGCCCACCTTGGCCTCTCAAAGTGCTGGGATTACACTGAACAGTACTTTCTGATGTTTAACAAAACTCAGTAAATCTAGATGACCTTTGGCTAGAAGACTCAGAGACACTAGTTTGTTTAGGCTTCCTTCCTTCCTTCCTGTTTCCTTCATTTCCTTCCTTGTTTCCGTCATTCTGAGTTGGTTATATATGTGGTTCTTACTGACTTTCATAACATTTTAGTTACTACTTACCCCAGAATACTTGAATACCAAGCAGAGTCTCACTTCCTGAGCTCATCCAGGAGGAAAGTGCATGACACAGTATAGATGGCTGATTGTTCCCCAAACAAGAAAAGTGGCATGTGGCATCTGCCTTGCATCCCAGGGAGTATTTTTCTTTACACCGAATCCTTGAAATCTGATGTGATTGGTATTAGCTTCAGGGAGCCCAAACCATCCAAAGTAGTTTAGGGTTTGGCCGGAAAGATGTTTCCTGTATTCTCAGTTGGCTTTACTTTGAATCCTGAGGCTTGATTTTTATTTAAGAGAGCTTACTGCTGGCTTTAAAAAGTCGATGACAGGGTCTGGTACCTTCTCATTGTGTTTTTGTTGACCACTCTTATCAATTAAGGGCACATCTCTTTCTTGGACATCCAGAATGTCATACATCTTTCTCTATTTACTGGAGATGGAGACTTGTGATTACCTAGTAAGTCTTCACATGCTTTGAGTCCACTTGGCAAGAACTACTTGTATACTTTTTGGATTTGTAATTGTTAAGCTTAGTTTTCCTTTAAAAAGGAAAAAAGAGCCATCTTAAATAACTTTTGAAGTTATTTAACGAAAAATATGCATATTACAAAAGGGTAAAATAACCCCAGTTATAAAACCTGACAAAGATACCAAGGAAAAGAAAATACAGCTTGATCTCGCTTGTATTATAGGTCGAAGAATCCTAAGTAAAGTATTAGCAAATACAACTCAGTAGTATACTAAAACAATAATATACAGAGATCAAATAGGACTGATTTAAAACTAGAAATATAATTAGGGGGAAACAAATCAAAATGCCCTAATAGGTCAAATGCCCAGGCACAGTGGCTTATGTATATAATCCCGGCATTTGGAAAGCTAAGGTGGGACCACTGCCTGAGCCCAAGAGTTTGAGACCGGCCTGGACAACATAATGAGAACCTGTCTGTACAAAATAATAATAAGAAAATTAGCTGCGCATGTTGGTATATGCCTATAAGTCCACCTTCTTGAAAGGCTGAGGCAAGGAGGATCACTGGAGCCCAGGAGTTGGGGGCTGCATTAGTTGGCACTACTCCTATACTCTAGGCCTAGGTGAGAGAGTGAGACCCTGTCTCAAAAAAAAAAAAAAAAAAAAAAAAAAAAGAAAAGGTCCAAATAGATACTGATAAAATCCCAAATTTAGTACTGATTAAAAGGAAAAGAAAAGCATGGGTGTGGTGCCTCTCGCCTGTAATCCCAGCACTTTGGGAGACCAAGGCGGGCAAATCAGATCACTTGAGGCCAGGAGTTTGAGACCAGCCCTGGCCAACAATACAAAAATTAGCCAGGTATGGTGGCGGGCACCTGTAGTCCCAGTTCCTTGGGAGGCAGGTGAGTCGCTTAAACCAGGGATGCAGAGGTTCCAGTGAGCTGAGATTGTGCTACTGCACTCTAGCCTGGACAACGCAGTGAGACTGTCTCAAAAACAAAAAGCGAAGAAAAAACTTTTATTAGGAATAGAAATGTTAACTCGATGACAAGTATTCGTTAAAAGCTATCAGTGATCATCATAGTTAATGGCGAAGCACTAATGATTTTCCTCTAAGGCCGGGAATAAGCCAGGAGGCCTACTGACAATATTGCTCAAACATCTGGAAGAGCAAGGTAATAGATGAGGAAAAGAAATAAGAATAAATCATGGAAGAATGGCCAAAATATTAACATTTGCAGATAGATTAATTATATACCTAGAACATTTTAGGAAAATCATTTGGAAAATTATGAGAAATATTAACAACTGTTGTCATGGAGAGTGAGACTGGGAAGGAGGACACCTGCTTTTCTAGAAGCCCTCAATTATTAAAAATCAAACACAAATAGTACTTTCATAAATATATTCTAAATATAAAGCTAAAACGTATAGGCAAAAAACCAACTGGTTTTCTATACATAGCAAAATATTCTATTCATAGTAACAAAACTCAAAAGCACTTAACAAATTTAATAAGGAATATGTAATACTTTAATAAAACTTTATAAAAGGACAGATAAAGCCTGAATAAAAAGAGCCACATCTTATTCTTGGATAGGAAGACCCAATATGGTACAAATGTCCGTTTTCTCCCAAATTACTTCCTACATTTATTGTAATTCATTCAAAAATTCCTCTGTAAGCAGAAATTCTCAAGAGGAGCTAAAGAAGTTTTGAAAATGAAAGTAAGGTAGAAAAAAGCAATGGGATAGGAAGTGTCCTAGAACTACTAATATAGAGCAGGTGCTACTGTAAAATGTTTATGGAAATCTATCATGTGCCAAAGGAAAAATGTCAAATCAGTGGGAAGAATAAGAAATTAGGTAATAAATGGTATTAGTGTAAGTAATAATTAATTTGGAAAACCTTAATTTTCTTGCTACCCTTATATCCTTTCCCTGATTAATTTGAGGTTTCAGGATTTAAATATGAAACATAAAACCACAGGACACTATAGGAAAGCATCTTTATGATCTTGTCATAGGGGAGATCTTTCTAAGCCAGAATCTGTAATGGGAAACATTTTATAAATTTACATAATGGTAAAAGACCATAATGTAGAAAAGAGATGATAAACTTGAGACAGCTATTTGGATATATATGAAAAAGGCGACTTGGGCAGAGTATATGAATAAGAAAAAGAAATGATCATTATAACATCTAAAAAATATTAATCCTCTATATTCAAGAAAATATAAGTAAAGCAAGATTGGTACAAAGAAAAAAAAGAAACAAAGGAAAAAAAGATTGGTGAAAATGATAAAGATGGATGTCAGTGGAAGAGGACCCTCATAATGGTGTTTTAAGTATAAACTGGTACAGTTGTTTTTGAGGGTAATGATCACCGTTTTTAATAGGCATTTCCTTAGACATACTAATTTCACTTGCAAATGTGGACAATATGTGTAAAAGATTTTAATTGAAGCACTCTTGGTTAATGAAAAAAAAAATCAAACAATTTAAATGTCTGCCAATAGGGCACTGGTTTAACAAACTGTGTTATGTAGCAATTAAGAAACATAAAGTTGACCAATAACTGTGCCATAGAAACAAAGCTACAAAATATTGTGTAGTAAAAACTGTCCATGGAAGTATGTGTGTAGAATAATTCCATCTGTGTACGATAAACATTCATATGAGTGTTAATTTTTTTTTTTTTTTTTTTTTTGAGACAGTTTTGCTGTGTTACCAAGCTGGAGTGCAGTGGCGCTATCTCGGTTCATGGCAACCTCCCCCTCCCAGGTTCAAGTGA